AATAATCTCGACATTCACAGGTGGAAGACTACAGGTTGGAAAACACTGATCTACAGGTATCATTTGGATAGTCCTCCTAAGGTTTAATATTCAGCTAAACCTGAACACCATCCAAATGGAGTGTAAGACCAAGAAAGTCTTGAGCACATTCTTTATTTGAGTTTTTTTAATATATCTAGACTGAGTGAATAATGATATAAAGCCTATGAACAAATGAAAATTAAAAATAATTTAAAAGCTGAAACTGTATAGTGTATAAAATGTTTTGTAGTTATTGACTTTACAGAAATACAAGGAAAGAGAAAGGTGAAAAAGATAGCTGAGCTTCTTTAATTTCAAATAAAGTTAACTCAGGAAACAACTTAATCTTCCTAATGCATACTTCTAATGTTCTCTTCAATTTCTCATTATCTTCTGTGGGACCATTGCAATAGTCAAAGTATTGCATTTATTCCTTACAGTAAGACCTCCATAAGTCAATATTTTCTGTCTCCAGAATAGTTATTCAAGACGTTCATTTTCTAAAACTAAGTATATTGTCACTATATTTCTTAAAAACAGTGAATTAGTTAGTAGTGACTTATTTTATAAATTTAACATTTTTCCCTAAATCTTAGGTTTTAGTTCCCAAAAAATCTAGAGTGTACGGCTTCTTACCTGCCGCCAAACTTTCTACCTATCCCCTATGTCCCCTGAGAAAAATAAATAATTCTATCCCTTCTCAATAAAACCAATTGTTCTTTTTCAAATGTTACCTGGACCTGGAAATAGCAAAGTCTGAATTTCAAAGTCATATCAGATATGTGAACAGAATTCTCTGCTCTGAAGGGGTTTACATAGCAAGTTACAGCATTAATAGCAAGCACACTACAGTGTACCAGTACTCAGGGAAAATGCCTGAACCTTTCATAAGTATTTTCTTTCTCCTTTGCAGCTTTTACCTTCTCTCTCTCACCACAATCTAACAGGGTGCTCAAGCATGCTGCCAACTTCAAGCACATTAAGTACTCCCTCTGCGATATGTGCACACACTATTTTCAAATATAGCATCACACATACACATGGTTGAACCAGGACCTGTGTCTGGAAATATGATTCATGCTCAAGGAGCTCTCCATTCCTCTCTTAAGCCTGATTTCAGAAAAATACTCTTATTTAGGAAAGACTTTTAATATGCTTAATTTTCATTCAAAACAATGAAAAAGATATGTACAAGTGCCTACTGCCTAACTCTCAGAATACTAGAGCATGTGCTACACTGTTTAAAATAATTATGAAAAAACTAATTTAATAATTTTGCTATTTTTTATCCTCTTCTATTAATTCTGCTTGACAATTCTTCTTGTATCTTTTGTCTGCTGCAAATGACTTAGCAGACTGCATCACTGACGCTTATAATACTCTTTGTCCTTCATTGTCAATGTACATTTTTAGCTTTCTTCTGCTTATTTTGCCTCATGTATTGAAGCTGGACCAGACTTGCTTTTATCAGTCTTGCCCCTTGCAATTTTTGCTGTGCTCTGCAGCTCTAGTCAGTTACAGTGGTTTCTTTGTCTTTCCATCAATTGAGATGTAAAAAGGGTAATTTAGGAAGGTGGGAGGATATGGAGTGGGAAGTGAGGATGAAGAAATCTACTTCAAAAAGTTTTCCCTGCTTTTTACCTTGTCATGCAGCCTTATATAAAAACAGCCTCCCTTGGCCAGATCAGGCCAGCATACTTTCTCCCCAGCATACTATGGATTCCTTTCAACAAAACAATAAAGCTCTTGCTTAATGTTAAGTGCACACATAAATTTTAATATCTTCAATAATCACAGGTTAAAGATAAGCATAAACTTATATGCTTTGCCAAGTAAGAATAAACTTATAATTGTTCTTAATGTTCTTCATTGAGTCTTGGCCTAAAGATTGGCCATACCAGTCTTCCACGCTACTGGAAAGCATTCAAGACTTTTGGTACCGTGTGTTATCTCTCCATGTCATCTAGTCTAATGTCTCCCTATCCATTTCACGTTCACTAAGGAAAAGACTAAGTTTCTGCCTTTGAGCCTGATTCCTGGGTGCCCCTGTCACTAAATCTTAGCTCAGCACAGCTGAACTGGCAAGCCTTTCAACAGCCGATCATATGTGCATATCCTCAAAAGCAATGTAAGCCTCTGGTCTGTACCCACTTCATTATTTATTTTTAAGACATGTATTTATTTTTAGAACAAAGGTGCTGGGCTATTCAAAATGTAATGTAGAAGCCTTTGAATCCTTTTAGCTTCCATTTTCTAGAAGAGTATAAAATAACAAGGCTACTGATATGATATTCACTGAATTCCTACTGAGTAACATCTTCTCGGCATAAAATCTTAAAGCTATGGTTGATAAAGATAAGGTTTAGAGAGATCTCTGTACCCTTCAGACAATGGGAGAAGGAGGGTAAGGGGCTGGGGCCACAGTCATTCAAGTGGAAGTAGAGCTAAGTCAGTGCTGGATGATAATAGAAATTCTGCC